CGATAACTATTGCCGGTTCACGTTTATGAGCTTTATGTACAATCCAGCTGGATTCGAATGAGACCGGTTCAATGGTGGCTAATAGTACGCGGTTCCGGGTTTGAAACAGGAGGCGATTACATTGCGTCGTGAGTTGCAGTTGCTATGCCACGAAACCGTCGCCACACCACAATTATTTCGAAACTTACTGCAATCCAGCCATAATTTCCTGGAGTTGTCGTCACTGTCATGCTTAGCTGTTGCGCTTTGGTCAATGGTGTTGTTTTGCCACCTATTGTCCTATTTTTTATTTTTTTTTAAAGGCTATGCAGTTCTTAGCAAGCCAGAGACACTTTAAGAGTATCTATTAGACGTAACCAGCTATGAATTTGCACTTTCGTGGCTTTTCATAAACTTGATACCAACCAGCATTTCTATGGAATAACATCGACATAAGACGAACATAAAATACACATCCTAACACGAAAACAGTCGTATGCAAATCATGTACTTCTCGACTTAAACGATATGGCCTTGGCGCTGTCGCGGCCGTTTCCTTAACTTCATTTACGTCAGAACTTTCATGCCATCACATGAGGGCATAAAAAGCACACACAACAGATTATAAAAGGAAAACTAGAACAGCCACATCTCATACGTCACGACGTGATAATATCTTAATGCTCCTGCGGCAATTCATTAACCTCTGATATACAAAAGTTGGCATGACATCAGCATGGCAAATAGTAATGACTGGTGCTAAATTGTATACAAGGTGTTTTTTTTCTAGGCAATGCACATTTTTTTCACAAAACCTTCATGACAGTATCGCTTCAGTCATTTTGGAGCACGTACTCTATGTCGATGGAGAAACACTTCACCGCAACTTTGGCGAGGTTTATCAACAAATATTTATTGTCTATTGACTTGAGTGCGCTTTCGTGTATTATAAAATTGTGTTGGTCACCTTATGCAATCCCCAATTTTTATAGATGATTAAAGTGCGCCTATAAATTGAGATACTCGGTGTCATGTTTTAATGGTGAAATCGTAACGGATCGCGCCCGGTGTGCAGAAAACGTGGCTTCTCGGCTGCCTAAAACTCGAATCGAAGTGCGTCTAAAGAGATCAGCACATCACGGTGTACCAAAGAGAAAAAGCTACATGCTTGGTTATCTAGAAGTTCTTGCCGAATTTCGACACTGCAGTTGGTTCTGGTGCGCCTTGTCTGGAATTTTGTCCCTTCCTTGTCAAGTGTAGTATTGCTCCGCCGTAACCGAGATCGCGCTTTCTCCGCGCTGGGCACAAATAGTTTCGATCATGCCTTCCAGTTCAATTATGAACATTTCGAATTAAGCACAACTTCTGTGGAATCTAAAAAAAGTGGTATTCTGTAAATTGGAACGCACTACAGCGTTACAATACAAACTTCCCGCTAGTTATGAACATAATTAGCACATTTTTTTGCAAATGAATCTTCACAATGTATTATTTTTTCATATAGAGTATTTCCTTATGACCTAGAGCAGCGATGTGAATTTACTAGAGCATGATTACGATTTATTTTTTTCCTCTAAAGGAAATCTATACCGCATAAAAGACACGCTGTGTACCAAGATGAGCATCCATGTATGCTCTACAAATATGTTAAAGTTAACGCCTTGTCATACCTAACCTGTCTCAAAGTCAAACAATTTCATTTATGCAACTTCGGTTGACGGCTTCACTTTCCATCAATTCCGACTGTGTGGGATCTGTTACAATTGGTCCCCGAATGTGTCATTTAAATGTTCTGTCTCCAGTATTTTTGATGTTCTCAAAAAAAAAAAACTAAGGGACACCAACGATTACGCTAGTGCCTTGTGCAAACTCTAAACGAGGCTGTTTCTGTATTTTGATTTTGCGACAAGTTCGCGGACGTGCCCCTCTAGATTCTGGCCTGGACAGCGCTGTGCCTCTTTTCGGGTAGCCCGTTTAGCAGCAACGGCAGACTGCACCCGCTCAAAACTTGAGTATACCTCCGATAGCAACAGCTTTTGGAGCTTTACGTTTAAGCACGAGAGCTGGTCTCAGCCGTAACATACGTTGCAGCAGCCTACGGCGTGATACTTCGTATTACAAAAGAGCTAGCTCATCTGAATTATTCACTTGTAGACGGGCTTCACGAAGAAAAATGAGTGGATGCGGCTGCATGAATATGTGCTCACAAGCGGTGGTTAGCTGCGATTCACGTCCTTTCCGTTTATGTCCGACTGGCCTGAGCACACCGCTAAAGCTCTGCATCGTCTGCTAGCTGACAAAGAGCCAATTACAAATTAAATAAACTATTTCAAGCTTTTCCATTGCCATTATTGTTGCTTACTCAACATATCCTCCGCAGTCCAAGCCAATTCTGTCGAAGTCAAATGTCGTTGCAGTTGGCCTTTAAAAGTCCAAGCTTTCATGAAAGGATTGAAGGTCATTGATGACCGAATAATTATATTTAGTGAAACGTTATATTGCCCTTCATTTTTGAAACTCACACAAAATAACGAATTTCTTAATTTGGGGGGGGGGGGGGGGTATTGAACACTGAGTACCTTGGAACCAAGCCATTACAATTTGACAAATTTGCGGCCAGTGCATTAAAATTTGAGCACGCCATGAGTGCTTAATTTTGTCTGACCATGGGTATGTGACATTTGCATCTAAGTTAGTTTGAAAAAAGACACCTTGCGTACGAACTTGCTTGGTTCCTTCCGGAACGCTAGTTTTTCCTTGATCTGCAAGCGTGAGGCGAACGAGAGACCCAAGCTCAGAAAACGAAGTGAGAGCATGAAATGTTCAAAACATCGACACACTTGTGCTGAAGAATGGTTGCGTTGAGTATGAGGCGAACCAAAATAACCCCCTAAAAGAGGCATACCTCGAAAAATGAGGGGCTACAAGTCAGTATTTAGTTTTAAGGCACAATCGTTCAGATAAATTAGGATCCCAATCGTCATTAAGGCATGCAACGAAAAAAAAAAGTGTGCCAAAAAAAGAGAAATTTTTTTAGAGGGTAGTATTTCTGTCGTCTCGTTGCACCCTGGTTTTAGGAGAAAAGCTTCTTAGGGTGTGAGTCATTCCCTCATCCGTCAATAGTACAAAGTATGTAGCCAGCTCTAGTATATGCATTGCTCACTAAACAGCGTTGTGTGTCTAAAGTAAAATTGTACATAAGATTACTATAAAAGTGGTAGTGTGCTCTGATAGTTGGTAAGTAAAGTGGGGGTTGGACAGACAGACAGACAGACAGACAGACAGACAGACAGACAGACAGACAGACAGACAGACAGACAGACAGACAGACAGACAGACAGATAGATAGATAGATAGATAGATAGATAGATAGATAGATAGATAGATAGATAGATAGATAGATAGATAGATAGATAGATAGATAGATAGATAGATAGATAGATAGATAGATAGATAGATAGATAGATAGATAGATAGATAGATAGATAGATAGATAGATAGATAGATAGATAGATAGATAGATAGATAGATAGATAGATAGATAGATAGATAGATAGATAGATAGATAGATAGATGAACGGCAGGATGGACTAATGTAGGCTTCGCCCCACTCATCGTCATTCACTTGTAGATATGCTGTAATTTTTTTCTCTTTCAATATAACCTCTCGTTAAGCTCCACAAGAAGCAACCACTGTTATTAGGAGAATACGCATTTCACAAGCGGAACGCACACTGCAGCATGCGTTTATTTAGCGTGTACTCCATGAGCCCCTACACTTCTCAGCGCAACCGAATGCCAAGCGAGTTGGTAGTGAGCGCGTGTACAATACGGGAATTTCCTTCGAAACCCAGACTGTGCATTACATTCGTTATCGCGACTTCGGTGGTACGGAAGCGTCTATTCATAAACGTCCACGATATTGCACTCCCTCAAGCTGCGTACTGACCTTGTAAAAGGATGCATAAGGTGGCTTAGTGGTATAGTAGTTTGTACACAAACGACATAACTCCATTTACAGTTCTGTTGCCGTTCCTCCCGTTGCCGAACATTCTTAGAAAAGACAATTAACTTTGTCTGTTCGGGCTTCATTTAAAACCGCGAGAGTAACTTTGGTAACGTATTACGCATTTGAATGGGCATGTATGCGTAAGCTGCCCACCCTTGTCGTTACAATATTGTGAAATTAACCATTTGGTAATTGTTAGACAAGTGGTTTGGTTACGCATTTTGTATTGTCTTGTAGAAATGTTGACATTTTTGTCACTCCTATTTTGCGCATACATGTGTACTTCAAGCTCGTGAAGCAGGAGATCATAAAATAAGTAATTTGTGCGAAAAACGGCATAATTGAATTTAGAATTCCATTACCGTTCCTCCCGTTGCCAGACATTTTGAGGAAAGACTACTTTGTTTGGGCATCATATTCAAAACCACGAGATCAGTTTTGGTAACGTATGATACATTTAATGGATAGATATGCGCAAGCTACCAGTCTCTGTCACTCTGTCAAACGGAAAGTTAGATATTTTGTAATTGTTAGACAAGCGGTTTGGTCACTGATATTGTATTGTCTTATAGAAATGTTGACATTTTGTTGCTCGTATTTCGAGCATACATATGTATGTCGCCGTTCTGGTGAAGCTGTGTATAAAAAATATTAACAATTTTAGGGATTAACGTCCCAAAACCACCATACGAGTATAAGAGACGCCGTAGTAGAGGGCTCCGGAAATTTCGACCACCTGGGGTTCTTTAACGTGCACCTAAGTGTAATCAGACAGGCCTCAAGCAATTTTGTCTCAATTGAAACTGCGGCCGCCGTAGCCGGGATTCGAACCCGTGACCTTCGGTTCGGGTTAGCAGACAAGTGCCTTAGCCACTAAGACTGTGGCGGGTTCGTTCATGTAAGGAGAAGAAGAAAAAACACGGAATGACTGAACGAGCAGCATACATCTTATGTGGACCCGTACAAAAGACACCCATTCTTGTCACTACATGACTGAGTTTAGCCACATTGATAAGATTGATATGTGTTCCACTTCCTATCTTCATTTTTTTTTATTTGCCATCAATACGCCAGGCAGGAAGTATGAACCAGGCTAAACGCAATTTCTCCTCTATTTGTTTTTGAGTGCTTCTGCTTTGTGCTTCTACCTCGTCGGTCATCTTCTTTGCCACACTATCAGCTCTTTGGACAGAAACGCGCACCAACCTGACAGCTTCACCCCAGTGATGAGCGAGTGCTTTCATATGAATGTATCTCTAATGCGAAGCAACGTGACTCAACCGCTGAGCTTGCTGGATATGATTACCAATGGCTCGATGAATCCTTTCTTGTGAGCCTTGGCATCATCTTTGGTGGACAAGGGGGGTAGGGCATCGCATGCTCCCGTGCCCTTGCTGTATTTGCTGCAGGGGAAGCTGAGCACTTCGCCAAAGGCGTGGTCAAGAATGTCATTCAGGAACTTCTTCGCCGACGGAAGCTTGCAGCCCCTGTTCAGAGCACCTTCGGCACACTCGATGAAGTCTTGGTAATAGCTGTTTCAAAATTTAAAAAAAATTATGAAGCAAAGAACATTTGATTGTTACGGAATCGTGAAGAATTTTGTAATTGTACAACAGGGACTAATATAGATCAATTATGCACTTAACACTAGCGGTATCACTCCCCGCTTTCTTTTGCTCCCACGAAGGAAAAGGGGGAAGGAGGAAAATAAGAGGAAAAGAACGGCAGAGAGGTAAATCAGTCTATGGGCAGCCGGTTTGCAACCCTGCACATGGGAGGGGGATGGGGGAGGTAAAAAATAAAGTGTACCAAGGATTGGTTAGCCTTCGAGAAGGGAAAAGTTGCCACCTTGAGCAGTTTAACAAATGTTTTCTCATTTTAGTCTCCGAAAGTTGATGCGTAAGGTCAGGATACGTACAATGGCGTTCTTCCGTATGTGTGCACCATAATTTGTTTGTTTACTGCACAAAATGGCAAGGCTAACAGCCCATTATCATCATCATCATAATTATCAGCATCTTCATCAGCATCAGCCTAACTACGTCCACTGCAGGACAAAGGCCTGCAGTGGACAGCCCATTGTGACAGCACTCAAAGACATCCGTGAAATAGCCTATCGCAAACGATGCTATATCAACTTGTAGTAGTATAAACTAAAATTATTTGTCATGCTGACAGCACGTGTGGCTTGCGGCAACCCACCGCTCCGCTCCTCTATAATGGAAACCTACCACGTGTCTTGATTTCTCAACCTCTGTTTCTGCAAATAATTTGTTGTCTGAGAGCCCAATATCACCAAACAGTTTTTAAATGACACTCACCAGCAGGAGTAAGGAATCTTCTGATTGTCGGCAGCCTTGGAAGCGCGGAACATGGCCACGAACATGTTGTTCGTGCATTTATGCAACTCGGAGCCAGCCTTGTTGATGCACTTTATGCTGTCGAAGTACTCTGCTCGGGGTGCAATTAAACAAAGCAAAATTGTCAAAACGCAAAATGAAGAAAGAGACCTTGCTCATGTGGCTAAGGGAGCCCCATTATTCCCCCCATAATACAAGCAGGCCCGCTCACTTTTCGTCTACATAGCTTCCATCCACCCGTAAGGGCGTATTGTCAAGTGGATTATACTTATGAGCAGGCCAAATGCGAGATTATTAGTTCACTGAGGCTGTAAGGCGTAAAGCAGACGAATAAAATGTGTTCTACTATTTTGTATCTAATGACGAAGATACGTGTAAAATCAGCCTACATTTTAACACACTTTGAAACACTTTAGGGGACACTCTAACGCACACTCTAGCGGAAAACAAACTTGCGGCAAACTATTATTGGGGAATACTGACTTGCCCCCTATAAGGCTCTCTTCAAAGAAACACGTTAACCCTGTGTAGCACGTCTCTCCGCAGAGAGTACATCAATTTCTAGAGGGACATTCACAGCAGTCAAAGTAAACTAGGCACCAATCGTGAGGACATATTCAACGCTATATACGACTCCCCTCATGTCATCGTTCGTTTAGTTATTGTGCTGTCACTATATTGTGCAATTGAACCCCAACTGACGTGAATCTTCGCGTTGATATCTTAAACTGAGAAGAAAATTGAGGTCTATCGGAGCCCCTTGTAACGTCTGCTTATTAGTATTACGCCATGCCTTCTATCATGCAGGTGCAACGCTTCAGAGCTCTCGAACTATTACAACATACCCTAGACAAGACTCACAGGTCTTAAGAGCGCTTTTTAAAACAATGACCTTACGAAATATTCAACTGATTTTCGAGAGCTTGATAAATGTCCCGCGGGCTCTGAGATGGGAGGCTATAGGCTGTTTATCAACTATATGCCGATCAGGCCGATTACATATCACTGAGGCCATGCATGGTCGTTCATCGAGCTTAACAAGTTGATAGGTGTAAACTTCTGCTCTGTAGGATTTCGTAGTTACCTAGTGATTCGTACTAAATATTCCCGGCGTGCAAGTTAAGACATTATGTATTTATATCAGGTTGAAAAGACCCGTGAAAGCAATTCTGGTCAACACTCAATTTCAGATGGCATGTTACCAGGAAGCATTTGTTCGCATCGCTATTACAAGGACTACACTCAAAACATCGTCGCTAATATAAATTTATTCGAAAGCTCACTAAGAAACTAGAAAAAGCTGTTGCCATTTACCCAAATAAATAGGTTTGTTGTAAAGATTTAGTTGTACACTAACCTGAATAAATTACTGAGTGGCTAGATGCCACCACACTGGAGACATAAATATGGGATGAGTAGCAAGGGGGGGGGGGGAAGATCAGGGGGTAGCCATATTCATACATTATGCACCCGATGCATGGCACATACTTTACTGAGCCGGCCTTTTCACGTCATTAATTATTCCTCAACATTATGGCTCTTGATACTTTTTTAATAATGGTGGCCAAGAAATTCTGATGTTTATTTATTTATTTATTTATTTAGCAATACTGCTAGCCCCAACTTGGGGCCATAGCAGAGTGGGTGTACATAGTACAACAAAATCAACAGTACAATACTGCAGTCAACACAGAACAAAGCACTTCAAACAACATAAAAAATGTTTCACGAAGAAAAAAAAAACACTAGTCAGATATAAATTTTTCAAATGCCTCGATACTGTCTGTTTCAATAATTTTGCTGTCAAGCTCATTCCATTCTTTGGCAGTGCGCGGAAAAAAGGAATACTTGAAAGTATTATTATTGGGCTGGAAAGGAACGACAGTGTGTTTATGACGTTGTCTGGTAGAGTAACCGGAAGAGAACTTTAAGTATTCACCTGTGTTACTATTTATTCGACCATTAACTATCTTAAAGAAGAACAACAAACGAGAAATTCTATTTCTTTCTGAAGTCCGTTTGAATCCCGCTTTGGCAACTAATTCAGAGACTGATGTTGGGCCGTGTTGCGTTCAAAGGGTTCTTCACTTACAAACTTTTACCTGGAAAAGCTTCAAACCAACGGTGCACTTTCGCAAGAAGCACGCCATTGCGTCATTTTCGTTTTTATATCAATTGTAGCGCTTGTTTTCTTTTGAACACGGTTAACAAAGAGGGGGGGGGGGGGTTGACTCCCAACAAAAAACCCTGAACACGCCTCCGATATAACCGCAGCCATTGATTTGATATAATCAGCATTTTAACCTTTGATGCATATAATACAAGGCACCATCTAAGTGGCAATCTCCTCTCCCCCTCCCCATGTGTAGGGTAGCAAACTGGACGCATAGCCTAGTTAACCTCCCTACCTTTCCTACATTCCTTCTCTCTCTCTCTCTAAGTGGCAATCTACAAAAGGAGAAAAAATAAATCTGCGAAAATTCGTCATTGAAGTGAAACGGTGTTGCGAAGAAAAGTTGTGTAAACGACACACATTCCACACTCATACTCACTCACCTTTGTGCTTCGGGCTAGTGGTGTTGCAAAACATATCGTGCTCGTCCTTGACGGCTTTAAGCATCAGCGCGATGATGCCTCTAGGCAGACCTTCCAAGCACTTGGCACCAAAATCTTCGGCACATTTTAGTTGTCTCTTATCCGATCTGCAACGACAGATCATGGGTTCTATGAGTACACAAGGCGGGTCTGCAACGGCCAACTAGGCGTGATTCATAACGCACAACGTACCATGCAAGCGGTTTCGAAACAAGGCCAAAGTGCATATGTCGCGGTTGCACAATGCTAGAACTGGCACCGGCGCCTCGCAAATATAAAGCAAACAAGGTACACGTGAGTGGAATTCTTGAATTACAATAAGTGCAGTGCAGAGTCCAGTCGAAATCAATGATACCTTTAGTTCTAAGTGCTAAAATGCGAGTGGGCACTGGGCTGCATTTTTGATTGAGGCGAAAATTCTGTAAGCCCGTGTGCTCAGACTTCGGTGCATGTTAAAAAGCCTCGGGTGGTCGAAATTTCCGGAGTCCTCCACTATGGCGTCTCTCGTAATCATAAGGTGGTTTTTGGGACGTTGAGCTCTACATACCAATCAAGTGTGCACAGGAAATGAATAGCTCATTTGGCGCAAAGCGTCACCTTCACATTTACAAATTAAAAAAAGAACAAGTAAAGCATCATAAAATATTCGCGCTGTCCTAGAGGCATCGCAAAGAGGCACTAAAAAGCAATATTCACGCTATTATAATTCAGCATATGCAGTGTCACGGAATGTAAACTTGTGGAGTTGGAATCCTGCAAAATATTTTCAGTTCAGTACACATGCGAGCAGCTACTGCAGTTGGATTCCCTCAGGGCCAACCATGATTTTTCATGTAGCGCAGGAACAAAAAAGTGCAACATTAGAGATTAATCATGAAACTCAGGCGAACGAATACTGCCGCTCAGTTAGTGGACCTGCAACATCCGAAATTAATCCAGCTTGTTTGTAAGTTAGAACTTACACGGCAGACCACATCAGCACGATTGCATTATGCTCCAGATGCTAGGGGGAAAGCACACTGGACAATGCGCAATTTTGGACACACGAGAATACCGTTCGCCGAGGACACAATACTCTCCACCATGAAGGTGGCGTTATGAACACTTCAATCTACATAATCTGTCGTGCATGTCGCTATGCATTCCAATGTAAGGCTCATGCCACCTCCTGATTCTGCGGCATTTCTGTGAAAAATTTCGAAGATCTTGCTCAATTCACAACCATTTTCTACTTTTGTTATGTATTTATTGGGGGCTTGATCAGATTAATGTACTCTCGCATCGATTGCGCAAGCTACAAAGAACACAGAGCTTTAAAACTGACGAACGCCACAGAACATCCGTGCAACACTTTTTGATCAAGATCAAATAAAGTTGCCGATCAGCCGACGAGGCCTCCCAGGACTCATGAGGCAAAGTAATAGCCAAACATAACACACACCGTCCAGTGTGTGTGGGTGAAGTCTTTTGCTTTGTGACGACTTGGATGCGCTATGCCAGCGACCGATTGATTGATAAGTTGAGTTTAACGTACCTAAACCACCATGTTATTATGATAGATGCCATAATGAAGGACTTCAAACATTTCGACCACCTGCGGTTCTTTAACGTGCAGCCAAATAGGAGCACATGGTCCTATAGAATGTTCGCCTCCATCGAGAATTCAGCCGCCGCCACCGGGATTTGATCGCGCAACCTGCGAGTCAGCAGCCGAGTACCTTAGCCACAAGACCACCACGGCGTGGCACGCTATTCTTGCTAAGCGATGCATAACCAACGACCCCGCTGTGCAGTCATGTACCGAAATGAGAACCACCATATACCCAACGTCGTATGCTTTCCACTGATTTGATTATCGTTAGCTGCGCAGTTACCATCTCCGCCGCGAGATGGTGCCGTGTGTTTGTGCACGTGAAAATGAGCTGCTGATCAAAAAAGCCAGGTCTGCACAGAATACGCAGCACAGTCATAGTGAAAGGTAAAACGGCGTCCTTTTCAGAGCCCGTTGTAGACTATGCTGGGGCACACACGCGTGTTACCAATTGCACCATACACCACCATAAATTTTACCAAGTGGGGAAGCTCCCAATGTGCCACTGTTTGTTATTCTGCGGATAAGCGAAGTCACCCGCTACATATATGTAAGACATTCTGCGCACTTTGTTCTGCGGCTGATGACGACGTAAAATTATGGTGAAGTCTTGTAAGGGGATGGAAGTGTCCAATGACTCTCAATGCCGTGGTTCTTGTGATCTGATCGCTGCTTTCGCTGCAAGAAAGAAGGAGAAGAAAAGAAAGTGCCCAAGGTCATCACGTGAGGTGAGGAAGGGAGAGGCATCTTCATGCCCCCTTGCCACCCTCTCCCACGCGTACCTCAGCTGATTGATTGATTTGTGGGGTTTAACGTCCCAGAACCACCATATGATTATGAGAGACGCCGCAGTGGAGGGCTCCGGAAATTTTGACCACCTGGGGTTCTTTAACGCGCACCCGAATCTGAGCACACGGGCCTACGACATTTCCGCCTCCACCGGAAATGCAGCCGCCGCAGCCGGGATTTGAACCCGTGACCTGCGGGTCAGCAGCCGAGTACCTTAGCCACTAGACCACCGCGGCGGGGCACGCGTACCTCAGCTTGTTCGCTGGTACAAAAAGGCAGAAACCGCATAGAAGTGTGCGGCAAATACCTGTAACTCCACTCCTATTTGATAGATTCAAACAGGTTCGTGGCATGTTATTGGTGAGGTGTCATGCGCTAGCAGTAGGGCTATTGAAAGTAGCAGGGGGTTGACAAGCAACATGACCGTATGATTGGTTTAAAGGGCTGCTGGCGGTCAGAAGTGACCAACATTAAGGCACACTGCAGCCTATGGAAACAAAATTAAGCACCACTGGCTTGCAGCGCGACGTCTCAAGAAAATACGCAAGGCTTCTTACTAAATACGTGCATTTGTCGATTCTCTTTCTAAACGCTTCGCCACCGCCACCTCGTGAGTTTCCGGAGAACCGATTAGCAACGCTTACTTTGCCTTACGCTTGCCAATTATATTGTCATGCATACGGAACTGTCACTCCAGCACAGGCTCTGAAATGGCAACCAATGAAGGAAGGCGACAACGTTGTCGTACTGGGTTAAACAGTGGAGCAGCCTTGTTTTCCTTCAATGGTGTGCGCTTTGGACGGTGTTAGCTAGATCTGCTCTAACAGAATAAACCTTCCCCGTAACAATATACCAACAATGTAAAGCGCTAGAAAGAACGACGGCAATAGTGAACTTACCACTATCGCATTCTATTAGTTTATGTTCCTTTGAAAGAGTTCACACAATCACTATGCCCGAGCAACAAGGCCGAACATCAGAATTGTACCTTACAAGTCGGATCACAGTCAGGGAGTGACTGTGAGCCACCTGTCATCCTACGAAGTCATTAAGGGCTTTACTTACATGCACGTCTCTTCGAGGCCCTTCGCATTGTCGGGTAGAGTCGGCTCATTGAAGTAAGGGACGAAGTCATATCCGCACTTTTCGGCCTCAGCAAACGTGCACCCTGGAAGGTCCTTGAGCACACTGGAACTCGACACGCCTGCACGGACATTTCCGAAAGTGCGCTTTAGCGCAATGGCAGTGAAAATCTCGTTTCGCTAAAATTTTCCGTGTGATATCGGCAGCGTTGCCAATGATACGTATAAGGTTGATCGATGCATTCATTAAATCTGAAGGCTTGAGGCACAATTTAGCTTATTCTGCGTTGCAGTTGGGCCTTTAACCATAGATCAATGCCACTGCTTGAAACTGCTTTAAGAAAAGACATGCAAAGGCGCCTCGTTGGCAAGGGGGCTTGAAAATCGATGTGGACTGAGTGGCAGATGCTTAAGATCGAACTACTCGACGGCGTTGCAGTGGTCAGGGTACTCGATTACTCACCTGAAGATCGAGGGATTTAATTCCTGCCACGGTGGCAGCATTTCCGCGGGAGGCGAAAATGCATTGCCCATGTCATTCTACTGGTAATCTTCTACTTTATCGAATGACGCTCCCTCGAAGTTCGGATGTCGTTCGCTGTTGTCTGTTGCTTTTATGTGTTCTCATGTTCTTCTATAACTTATGTGCTCAAGAGGGCTATTGCGACTGTTCTGACCGTAAGCTTTCATAATATTGCCACGTTCCATTTCCCAAGTTTTTGTTATCGTCCGAAAACACCGCACGATTCACAGCGCAAACCGCGCCTGCAGTTTTCTAGAAGGTTCCGGACTGTAGTAGATCATTTCGATAAGATCACGCCCACTGTGCGAACGGTACAGATTGTTCTGGAAGCTACGCCACCGCCAGCGATAACGCTAGAACATTCGACGGCAAGAGTATAAATGCCGACGCGCTTCGCCGCTTGTCAGTTGTTGATCGAAGGCCGACGCTCCGTTCGCCGCTATCAGTCCGAGACTGCTATCTGTGCGAGACTGCTGCTGTAATTGGACTTTCAGTTTACCGGGCACAGGTTCGCCCAAATAAACAGTTAAATCCTAACACGAAGTCTCCTGTCTTCGGCCACGTCACGACCCCGTGACATTTGGTGGAGGTGCTGCTTCGTTCATGTACCGGACGCCCCCGTCAAGCCGTGAACCCAGCCCACGTCGCGGAGAAGACACCGACACCAACCAGGAGCAGCGAACAAGCCGCCGACAGCAAGGGCTACCACCGGAGTACGGGCTTCTACCAGACAAGGCGCGGAAGACGAAAGCCATGACCGCGACTGCAGCGACAATGACAACCGCAGCGTCCCAGCCCACGATGGTCATGCATCAACCCAGGGAACCACCAATTTTCCATGGGTCATCGTTCGAAGACCCGGAGTCCTGGCTGGAGACATACGACCGTGTGGCCGCCCTCAACCACTGGGACCATGACGAAAAGCTGCGTCGTGTGTTCTTCTATTTGGAAGACACCGCAAGGACTTGGCTTGAAAATCGGGAGTCCACGCTCCGAACGTGGGATGTTTTCTGCGGCGCATTCCTTCAAACGTTCGCGAGCGTCGCTCGCAAAGAGAGGGCCGCTGCTTTATTAGAGACTCGGGTTCAGCTACCAAATGAAAATGTCGCCATTTTCACAGAAGAAATGACCCGACTATTCCATCACGCTGATCCAGACATGCCTGAGGAGAAAAAAGTTCGTTTCCTCATGCGAGGGGTCAAACAGGAGCTCTTCGCGGGACTGATGAGAAACCCACCGATAACCGTCCAAGAATTTGTAGCAGAAGCGACCACTATCGAAAAGACCCTGCACATGCGCACCAGACAGTATAATCGTCGCCTAACTGCAGACAGCGCTGCTGCTCAAGCCAGTAACTCCGGAGACCTGCGTGAAACGATCCGAGCGATCGTGCGGGAAGAGCTGCGCAAGCTGTTGCCGCACGTCGTCATCGAAAATTCGGCAGACCCCAATCACGAAACATCGCATCATAACCGAAGAAAATGCCAGACCACTCCGTCAGAGTCCGTACAGGGTTTCGACGCGAGAACGTGAGGCCATGAAGAGACAAGTTGATGAAATGCTGCGGGATGACATCATCCAGCCGTCCAAAAGTCCATGGGCATCCCCCGTGGTGTTAGTGAAGAAAAAGGATGGGACCCTACGTTTCTGCGTCGATTATCGCCGCCTGAACAAAATCACAAGAAAGGACGTGTATCCCCTCCCACGAATAGACGACGCACTTGATCGGCTCCATAACGCCAAGTACTTTTCGTCAATGGACCTTAAGACTGGCTATTGGCAAATCGAAGTCGACGAAAGAGACCGAGAGAAGACGGCGTTCATAACACTGGACGGCCTCTTCGAGTTTAAGGTGATGCCCTTCGGCCTTTGCTCAGCGCCTGCAACGTTTCAACGCGTTATGGATACGGTATTGGCAGGATTGAAGTGGCAGACTTGCCTCGTGTACTTGGACGACGTCGTCGTGTTTTCCTCAAGTTTCGACGAGCATCTTCGGCGCCTTGAAGCTGTACTTCAAGCCATCAAGACTTCCGGACTCACACTGAAGCCAGAAAAGTGCAGATTTGCGTATGAGGAGCTCTTGTTTCTGGGGCACGTTATCAGCAAGTCTGGAGTTCGTCCCGATCCACGGAAAACAGCCGCCATCGCCGACTTCCCGCCGCCCACTGACAAGAAAGCCGTGCGCCGATTTCTGGGCCTGTGTACCTATTATAGGCGGTTCGTGAAAAACTTCGCCCGCACCGCCGATCCTCTCACTAACATTACCAAGGCCGACGTCGAGTTTAAGTGGCAAACGCCGCAGGAACACGCTTTCCAGGAGCTTAAACATCGCCTCCAGACGCCTCCGTTACTTGCCCATTTCGACGAATTTGCCGAGACAGAAATACATACTGACGCAAGCAGCGTAGGTCTTGGCGCCGTTCTTGTGCAGAGGGCTGACGGACTTGAAAGGGTTATTAGTTACGCCAGCCGATCGCTATCCAAAGCAGAAGCAAATTATTCCACAACAGAAAAGGAGTGCCTCGCCATCATCTGGGTTACGTCGAAACTTCGCCCCTACCTCTACGGCAGGCCCTTCAAAGTTGTGAGCGACCACCACGCATTGTGTTGGCTAGCCACCTTGAAGGACCCCTCAGGTCGCCTCGCACGATGGAGCCTGAGACTTCAAGAATATGACATTACTGTCATTTACAAGTCAGGCAAAAAACACTCCGACGCCGACTGTCTCTCTCGTGCGCCTGTCGACCAACCGCTACCCGACGACCCGGATGACGACTACTTCTTAGGAACGATAACTACCGACGACTTCGCTGAACGACAGAGGGCCGACCCGGAACTTAAGGCCCTAATAGAATACCTCGAAGGCAGGACCGCCGAAGTCCCGAAGATATTCAAGCGCGCACTTGCGTCGTTCTTTCTACGAAACGGTCTTCTACAAAAGAAAAACTTTTCACCGCTTCGAGCTAAGTACCTTCTTGTGGTGCCTTCAGCTCTGCGACCAGAACTCCTGCAGGCCCTTCACGACGATCCGACGGCAGGGCACCTCGGTGTTTCTCGCACGCTCGCGAGGATACAAGAAAGGTACTACTGGCCACGTCTTACCACCGACGTCACTCGTTATGTGAGAACATGCCGGGACTGTCAGCGACGCAAGACACCGCCGACAAGGCCAGCGGGACTTCTGCAGCCAATTGATCCACCTTGCCGACCTTTCCAGCAGATTGGTATGGACCTACTGGGGCCGTTCCCGACGTCGGCTTTCGGAAACAAGTGGATCGTGGTAGCTACCGACTACCTCACCCGCTACGCCGAGACAAAAACCCTGCCAAAAGGCAGTGCATCCGAAGTAGCTAAATTCTTCGTCGAAAATATCGTCCTACGTCATGGCGCCCGAGAGGTCCTTATCACCGACAGAGGAACGGCATTCACTGCCGACTTAACTCAAGCAATCTTGGCATACAGCCAAACAAACCACCGCCGGACGACAGCGTACCACCCACAGACCAACGGCCTCACCGAGCGGCTTAACAAGACGATCGCCGACATGCTGTCAATGTACGTCGATGTCGAACACAAGACGTGGGACGCCATTCTTCCGTATGTGACCTTCGCATACAACACGGCGGTGCAGGAGACGACGCAGATATCGCCATACAAATTGGTCATCGGAAGGAGCCCGGCAACGACGCTCGATGCCATGTTACCCAACATCACCGACGAAGAAAACCTCGATGTGAGCGAGTACCTTCAACGCGCCGAAGAAGCCCGACAACTTGCGCGTCTCCGTATCAAGAATCAACAGACGACCGACAGCCACCGTTACAACCTTCGACGACGCTTCGTGGAATACCAGCCCGGTGAACGTGTTTGGGTGTGGACGCCGATACGCCGACGTGGACTAAGTGAAAAGCTTCTGCGACGGTACTTCGGACCGTACAGGGTGGTTCGACGGCTCGGCCCACTTGATTACGAGGTTGTCCCCGACGGCATCACGAACTCTCAACGACGCCGATGGCGACCTGAAGTCGTCCATGTCGCGCGCCTCAAGCCGTTTCATGCGCGTTAACAAACTGAACTAGTGTTTTTTTTGTATTATTGTTGTATCGTAATTTATTCATTGTACTTTCTTGCATTATTATTGTACTTTCATCTTTAGTTAAAGCATCGGGACGATGCCTTTTTTCAGAGGGGGGCAATGCCACGTTCCATTTCCCAAGTTTTGTTATCGTCCGAAAACACCGCACGATTCTCAGCGCAAACCGCGCCTGCAGTTTTCTAGAAGGTTCCGGACTGTAGTAGATCATTTCGATAAGATCACGCCCACTGTGCGAACGGTACAGATTGTTCTGGAAGCTACGCCACCGCCAGCGATAACGCTAGAACATTCGACGGCAAGAGTATAAATGCCGACGCGCTTCGCCGCTTGTCAGTTGTTGATCGAAGGCCGACGCTCCGTTCGCCGCTATCAGTCCGAGACTGCTATCTGTGCGAGACTGCTGCTGTAATTGGACTTTCAGTTTACCGGGCACAGGTTCGCCCAAATAAACAGTTAAATCCTAACACGAAGTCTCCTGTCTTCGGCCACGTCACGACCCCGTGACAATATTTTCCCTGTAAGTCAATGTTGCCTTGCATAGATTTCGCTCTAACACAAGCGTGGTTTAATAAGCCGCAATTAAATAATGAATATAAACCAAAAAAAGCTACGACAGTGGCATTACTTCCTATTTGAGGTAAAGTAAGGGACTCAAGTATAAAAGTGCCTTGCTGGCAATGTGTCACGCACAGGTTGAACAGGAGTGGAGAACAGAAAAGCTACTGCGGAAAAAGAAACCCCGCGTTCGATTCGCGCACACGTGCGTGACTGAAAAAATTGTTCAAAGCTGTTCGCACAGGTTAGTCATTGAAATAATCGTGAATCTGTTTTAAATGTCTTGCGCAATAACGAACGAAGATGACAGTGTTTTAGGAGCACCTGAAGGCCACCAGTCAATTATGCGCCAGAATGTAATAGATTTAGTAAGTTATTACAATCCATTGCAATGTGGTTCACACTAAAGGAAATTTTAAACCAAGCGTGACAGAGAAGCCATGCCCCACGTATAGATAAAATCCGGAGGTAAGTAGGAGCGTGGGTGAAGACAAGACTAACTCGCTAAACAACTCGCTAAAAAGAACTTGCTAAGCTTAATATGGTATGGTGAGGTTATTAGCGGTCCATTATATTTGACGAACCAGTGCACAAACCACAGGCAATATGGCACACACATAAATTGACGCGAGAACAGCCGCAATGTGTCTGCGTCATTTAATGCGTGTGTGATTGTGTGGTTTATGCTTTGCTTCATCTAATATATTTGGTAATGCTGTTTGTTGATGGCTAATTGTTCGCAAACTGTTGGCTTCTATTGGTTAGGTTTTGTCTAGCCCTGGATCACACTGCATGGCTAATCGTCAAAGCGCATAAATGAGACGAGCAGAGGTATTGACCAACACGCGCTGATGAACAACTAACGTAAGCTTATTGAGTCGAAAAATACCCGCCTCGTTTTTGTCCTGTTTATACACAGTTATGCACCAACAGGCCTTTCAGACACCCTTTTCTCAAATAGTGTTAGCTAGAACTCTCTGTCACTGACAATTTTGATAAACTATTGCTTTGTGTTGGGCACTGTTGAGAAATGCTGCTTAAGTTTGGATTATGCTGCAGTGTTATATGTGTGATCGTATGACAGAATTAGAAATATATTACGTGTGCCACTACAATTCTGCCACTTGCAGTCAAGCGCTGTGGTACCCCGCTGGATCCACCTGTTGATCGAATAACGAGTGACAACGAGCGCTGCTTCTGTAACATCGGCGCCTACCGGAACTGTGAGCTGGTGCCCAAGGTAAGGAATGTACTGCGCTTCCACGCAAGTACCAACGCAACATTGGGCTACAACTTGCCCACTCGGCGTCAAATTATAGTTAGCGTGCCTATAGGAAGGCAGCGTCACACAAGCAACGTTCGCACAGAGGTGAAGATCCACGTATATAGGCTCGCATGAATGACCCAACATCTCCCATGAATGAAAGTCAAACGATTAGGCACGGCGGGCTCCCTGCTGCATGCTTCGTACACCATTGATTCCAGTCTGATTATATATCCGATTTCTTAGAGTCATTTGAGTGCTATTATTTTTTTCTCATTCTGTACACGGTTTCGTGTAAAAGGTTGCAATATTTATCTATAAGGAAATTGTTGTGATATACTCCTTATTTTTGCTCATGTATTTTTGTAACCGACTCCTGCAATAGCCCTGAATTGGGCTGCAGTATTCAAATAAAGACAAATCTCTGTAATACACAAAGTCACAGTGTTTTTTCGCATATTAGCAACGGAAACACTCTTCTTGCGGTGCGTTAATCAGGATACATACAGTTAATATGGACGAAGAACGATGTAAACGTTACCTGGCAGTCGCCAATCATAAAGGTAATCAATATGGGCAATGTTCGCCGCCCTTTCATATTAGTTTGCTTTGGCGAATTTGCGTAAGGAGTATCGCAAATTATTGTGCACCTTACGTGTCAACAATTGAAAACTACTGCACTGTATTATACTACCGAAGAATCATTTAGCCTTCTATTCATTAATGGTCATGGTCACCGTTCATTTAAGCACAATAATATATTTCGTATCATAGCAAAGCAGATTCACGTATGCAGACCATGCACGGTTTATTACAATAGCTGGCGCCGAAGGCACACTTCTTCTAAGCTACACACAACAAATACTCGTAAATTTAAGCAATCGTTATGGCAAAAAGGCATAATTACATTGGAGCACTGCAGTATAGTGTCTTTCAGAGATCAACTCGAACAACCATACACTGTTATACTCCTGCAATTACTCCACTAGTTCCTCACCGACAACCTTGACATCGTCACAGGCGGCGACGGTAATATATATCTTTTAAAGTTCCTGCAAAATCTACGAGCCATCCTACACTTGCGCCGGTGCGTGTTCCTAGGTATAGTTATTGAGACATTTTGAAAAATAGTTCCAGAGTGGATCACCGACACATCCCAACACCCAACTGTATTACGAGAAAATCCTGAAATAAATAGTCACGTAACCTCAGCCACGCGACATACCTTTTGCAGGGTTCTTAGCGTTAATTTTTTCGCCTCACCAACACTCACCGCCCACAATGAAGGCCAGGCCCAAGCACATAATTGGGAGCGCGCCGTTCATCCTCATCTTCACTCGTGCCGGCAAGAAATAGACGGACAGAAAATGCGGCCGGTCGTAGCTATTTATTGCACTGCCTGACGATCACACGTTTGAAAACACATTTGCTACGACGGAAGCGAATACCCGCGAATGACATCGCGTGCACTAAGATATGCATTAAATGCAATAAAAAGCTTGAATTGAAACTGTCTGGCTGCTTGCCTATAGGTGAATATTACATACCTTCCTAGCAGACGCGCACCATCGCGTACGCTGTAAAATGCAGTCTGAAGGAGAGAGAAAGCACGGCGAGCCGATGCAGTTCAAAAGCAAAATAGAAGGCGGGCAAAACGTTGTATAGCATGGTTCGCTCGGTAATAAAATTAGCTTTTATTCACTCTCATTTAGCAAACATGTTTGCCTTGAGACAGCCATCGAAGATGGCAATGCCCTGTGTCACAATGCTGTGCAAGAGCACGCACTTTCATTTCCACAGACAACAGTCTGCCCCCTTTCTCTCGCACGCAACCGGGCACCTGCGTCCCCCGCCACGTGCTCAGTGCAAGGGACGTGCCCAGGGTATCTTTTGACTTTGTAGTAGAAAAAAAAAGCTAAGAACACGGAGCCGTGGTCGTAGAACTGGAAGATGATGTTCACTTCTTAAGGGCAAGCTCAGCATTTTAGAGCAAAACTGCGATTCGGCTTATAGTTGGAACATATTCATCTTGATATGTTTGCGCAAGCACACGGAGACACATAGGAAAACACAGGCGGGCGCAATCTAACAACTGGTTCATTTTTTTCGAAAACAATTCACTTTACACTCCTCGGTTCTGTGCACTCTGGTCACCAAAAAATATCTGCGCTGCGCACGTGTCACAACTAGCAGTCACAAGTTCATTGAACAACAAATGGGAGTGAAATTTGCTTCGCCAGTGAGGCTACCGGAGCGTGGCTAACACACTTATCTTTCTGCTTGTCTATGAGATAGGCTTCCATCATTTCTTTTGAAGTTCTGCTTTGATTTCTATATGCCATGGTATAGTGTTGTTAAAACAAGGAGAGCATGCGCACTCTTTGCAATGCATTGCTAAATGTGGGTTAGGACGATCTTTCAGACTTGACATATGCTCCCTTAGCGTCACATTCTAACTTCGTTTTTAGGGGCGAAGCTCCTTATAGCGGCACCCGTTCGTCCCCCGTAGTATGTAACAAGTATAACATTTTGACCTCCAAGGTGGTGCCGGTGAGAGACTTCTTCTGTGCGTTGTTGATCAATAAAAAAATAGTGCTCAATCTACATGTCAATGGCTGCTAATGGGGAATGAGAGACAGGAGCATTCGGCTTTTAGTTAACGCGCAGGCTGGGATCACCATTAGCAGCCATTGGCACGTACATTGAGCACTATCTGACAAGAAAGGGTTGCTACGTTATACTCGCTGGGTGTAACCTCCTTAGCTTTAGAAAGGTTTAGCGAGCATTGAGCCGCAGTGCCATGAATACAATGAACTCATATATACCATGAATGAACTCGAGATGGTTAAAAATGGGAAGTAGATACGAAGCGCAAGCCGTAAGGAAGTAAAAGCCGAATTCTCCGCCTCTCTTTTCCCATTAGCAGCCATTGGCATGTACATTGAGCACTATCTGACTGAAAAAGTTTGCTACGTCATACTCGCTGGGCGTAACCTCCTTGGTTTTCGAAAGGTTTAGCGAGCGTTCGGCCACAGTGCCATGAATACAGTGAACTAGTATATACCATGAACTCGAGGTAGTTAAAGGTGGGAAGTGGACCCGAAGCACAAGCCGCAAGAAAGTGTGCGTGTGCCACCTCTCGTTTAGTCCTTGGAATGTTCGCTGGATGGCGGTGCTTCTATATGTGGAATATATGATGAAAAGATGCGAGATGGTGGTACTTGGAGTCTTGAATAGAGGGACGAACGGACACATAGACAGATGCAGGGATGGACGCATGAACGGACGCAGGGGCGGCTGCATGGAAAAACGCAGGGATGGACGCACGCACGGACGCACGCACGGACGGGCTGATGGACGCATGGACGGTCACACTGACGGACGCATGGACGGACGGAAGCAAGAACGAATGGACGGACGAATTCTTCGCCCCACTCTCCATCATTCACTCCGTGGATATGCTGCCATTTTTTAGATGCGGAGCATCTAATACTCGAGGCTTGTAGTGCGGCGCCGTCCGCAAGCTTCCTCCTCCTTCTTCCACCATCTGTGCATCCCTTCCTCCTCTACACACCGCGCGCGCTTCACTCTTCCACCATCTGTGCAGCCTTCCTCCTCTACACACCGCGTGCGCTTCTCCTCTTCACGAACATTCGCTAGCTGTATAATGTAGCGCGCATGCGCCGCCACGCTTCGAGAACATCGGCAGCTGACGCGCGCGCATGCGCCGCCACGCTTCGAAAACATCGGCAGCTGACGCGCGCGCATGCGCCGTTGCGCTTCTCCCCCTTCTCGAACATTCGACAGCTGACAGTGCATGCGCCGTCGCGCTGTATATATACTCAAGGTCGGCGCTCGCTCGCTCAGTTGCCGCTCGTCGGTTGGTTTGTACGGCGCGTCGACGTCCAAGGTCGCGGTGAAATGAATTCCAACGAATCCACAAACACAATGATCGACGTCCCTTCGACCAGCGCCGCCCTTTCGCATACGTGTGTACGTGTTCACTCATTTAACACCCCCTCCTACAACCACGTTAACCAATTTAGCCATCGACCCAAGTAAGTCGCAATTTAACACCCCATTTCACAACCACGTTAACCAATTTAGCCATCGACCCAAGTAAGTCGCACTTTAACACCCCGTTAACCAATTATATGCTCCGCATCCTCCTCAGTGTTCCCCCGAGGGAAGCTGCGGGCAATTTTTTTTCTCTTACTTTGCGCCCATCGTGCCTCCGCCCAAGTTCCTGGCCAACTTCTTCATTTTGGACATCTTCCGACGGGAAGGGAACGAATGTTACGAAAGTCACTTTGCCGCTTGTAACATATACAGTTTCAGTAGCGAGTGTTTTGCCCCGTAGAGTTACGAAACGCAGTGAGCAGGCTCCGACAGCAACGCTTGTTTGAGTGCCGACAGAATGCTTGTTTGAGTGCCGAGAGAACGCTTGTTTGAGTGCCGACAGAACGCTTGTTTGAGTGTCGTCACTGCGTCACGTGCGTGACGCAGTGACGACACTCAAACAAGCGTTCTTGCACTTCCGCCGCTTAGCTCACACACACAAGTATCACATTCGGCGTATTCTTTCACGCGCAGTTCGCAATAGTCAGAATTCTGGTGGTAGTCGCCGTAATCAAGTCAATGTTACCCCGGTGGTATTGAGGACTTTTCTCCTCATCGAAGCCTGAAGTGTTTGGAGCGATTACGAATCACAGTCACTCTTCGTGCGTTATGTCGCTACTTGCCTTTGCTTAGGTCAGTCGGTGCCTCGCGTGTTTTTTGTGTGAAGTTTCCTTGCTTTCGGGTTTTCTTTAGTTCTCTCGTGAGCGGACTATCAATTCGTTCTTTTCCTGAATTCATTTCCATTCGATGCCGTTATTCTTACCTTCCAAGCTGTCGGGTGCTTTCACTCAGTTCTTCTGTCATGTATGCCTTGAGTGCGACGGCTGCTTCTCTTCAGCCGCCGACAGCAAAAGTGCACTCTCCTGCAGGCTTGTCGCTTGGTGACCGAGATCGTGATTAGTATAGGTCGTACCAATTTGCACGTGTCATCTTTAAAAATATGCCCGTGTTTTCTCTCTATTTAACTCGGAATTTTTCTTCGATTGTTTTCTTTCGGTTTTTAATCCCACTTCAGAAAACTTAAACAGTGCTCTAATCGCTGTTGCTCCTGTACAATGAACAGTCTGACATGCTTGCTCCGGAGTATGTTCCACGCACCTCATCTTCATTGGACCCCTACCAAAAGAGTCCCGAATAACTATTTTCTGATATGGTAGTCTCACCCTTCGGCATACCTTCATGACTGCTCCGGCGTTATTACCATCAAAGCCGACAGCATTATTTTGAGTTGCGGTCTTTGCATATTCGTGGTTGGAATCGGTGCCTTCCAAGCATCTATTGTCTCCTTCTATGCTTTCGGAAAGGTCAAAGCGATCAGCGAGTTTACAGGAACAAATTCGGTTGTAGTTTCCATAGTCATGTGTAAAGTAACAAAGAGGAGAATAGGCGGTGGCACTTACGTACCCAAAATGTGCGCGTTCATGTAGAAAATGCTGAAATTCGTCCCATGAAAGGTTACATGCAACACCTTCTCAAGGTAGTCTTCAGAATTTTCGAGTTTCTGGTCGACTGCCTTATTTAGTCTGGTCATTGGGTCTCGTCAAGCTGCTTATGTAGCTTTTAACTTAACGCAACCATCCAGCATGTATAAACTGGAAAATAAATTGAATTGAATTGAATTGAATTTTCAGTTACGTCGAGCATCTCTTTGTCCTAATGACGGACCTCAACTTTTTTGCTCATAAAAACGATGACTCACCTTTGACCTCACATGCTTTGGTGGCGTAATCCTGTAGTAGCCTTGTCAGAAGCGTAATATTCGATAAGATACTGGCACGGACATTCCCAAGCACTCTCAGAAGACGGTCGGCTGACGAAATTGGAGCCCAGCGTGAAACACTCTCGGGTTTCGGGGCACCAAATTAGCAAGGACTGTGGTCGTAGAACTGGAAGGCGATGTGTACTCAACCAGAGCTAGCTCCGAAACCCCGTTTCACCTTCCTCTGATCTCTGTTCCCTTGTGCTGTGTTTCAGCCCTAAGTGTTAAGAACAAGGACCGTAGTCGTTAAACTGGAACACGATGTTTATTCGACAAAGGGCAGCTCCAAAACCCCGCTTCACTTCCCTCTCATCTATGTTCCAGGTGGGGTCGTAGTCCCGGGTTATGACACCAAATGTTAAGAACAAGAACCGTTCTCGTAGAACTAGAAGACGATGTTTAATCAATAAGGGCTAGCTCCAAAACTCCGCTTCACTTTTCTCGAGGATTTAC